ATGTAAACTGAGGTTTCTTTTGTCTTTTTGCTAAGTCCTTGCTTAAATTAACTTGCAATCTTTTTTCAGGCAAGTTATCTGAATTTTGGCCTGTGATGTCCGTGCATTATCGTGATTTCGATGAAGAGTCCCTTGTTGAGTCTTAGGCCTTACTTAGATTCAAGAACACTTTTTTCCTTTAGATGTCGAGTCACCCTTCTCTTGCTTCTATAGCTGTATAATATAGTGGAAGTAATCTGTTTTGGCATTCTAAAGGTGTCAAACCATGAATGTGAAGCTATCGTAATTCTATTCATCAGATATGTTGCTGCCTTGGAATGTACAACTATTCTTCCAACATTAGTTTTAGTTCTAATTTTGTTCTTGTGTTGTTTAATTGATAAACTCCAGCTATTCAGTTTTTTTTTAAAGAATAAAGACACTTCTAAGCTTTCGCTTTGAATGCAGCTAAAAGTCAGCCCAGGAATAGTCCAGTTTAGATCTTTGCTTCATGATTAATGGTATTTAATGCTTTGGTATTTTCTCTAAATTTTAGCCATATTAAGTAAATAAACTAAAATATATTATAAATACGAGGTTCATTTTTTAAACGCACATTAAAAAACATGTCAATAAGTTTGTTTCAGATGATGCTAGTTGTCAGATTTCCAGCTGTAAGTTTTTTGCTGTTGGACTCACTTCCTGCAATTTATGTATTTTTGCTGAAAAAATCAAAACTGATACAGATACTTTCCTTCAACTAATATTACTGAAGTATACAACGATGTTCTGTGTTTTTGTAATTCTATTTATTTAGCCCAACCATGTGGAGATCTCCTCCTCCTTTTTCTAAAAAAAAAAAGGATTGGAATTAAGACAGTGTTCATCTTAATTTTAAGCTTTCCAATTTCATAAAATGAAGAAGTATTTTCCTGTAGTTTTTAAGATCTTTATTTTCAAATCATCGTAAAGTTTCCACATTTTGTATACAAACATTCTAAATGCTTACTTTATTGTGACCTGAATGTAATTTAAATTTGGGAAGTGGCTATACTTGTTTAGAAGCTGGAAGTGGGATGGCAGCTATTTCAAGTTGAGTGTGTAGTCTCTCTGCAAGATAGAAATAAATTTCAAGGAAAGGTTCAAAGACAGACTCGCTTGAACAGATGCATGTGTTACACATCTTTGGGAACAAATATCCGTGTGTAGATTGACACTGACACTATTTATTGAGCATATAAATTTATATAAGAAATCATTGGTTATGGTTGAAAGTTTTCTTTTGGGCTTCTGAGAAATGTAGATTTTATTGCGTTGTTTAATGTTCAATATGGAATTCAATGACTTTTCTTAAAGCTCAAGCCGAATAATGGTTAACTTATTTTTTCACAGGATGAAAGTATTGCATTTATTGCTCATCCTAAGTTGGTCTTGAAAAACTGGTGGTGAAGTGTCAATTGTAAAATTAGACTTAGCAATGGCAAAATTGCCACATATGCCAGTGGGGGAAAAAATGTTCTCAAAAGTCTTGTAAATTTGGATTTTCTTCAAAGTGGTGCTTTTTTTTTAGTCCCCAAATTCAATAATAAGCTCATCTTGAACCTTTCAAAATCTATTGGCCCTTTTATAATGGATAAAACCCATCACGTGACCCATATATTGTCATGGGCTGATTTGGCCTTGTGCGGCATTTGTACAGGAGATGTACATGTGAACATAAATTAATGTCAGGCTTAGGTCACTTGGACTTTCAAGCCAGTTCCACCATTGAATAAGATTATGGCTGGTCTGACTAATTTACATTTCCACATACCCATTGATGACCTTTTCATCCTTATTGACAATCGAGCTATAAGTGCCTTAAAAATATTAAAAGACTGATCCCACTGCCTTAAGGAAGGGAGTTCAAAAGACTCATGACCCACTGTGAAAAAGTTATCTTTGTTTCTAAGGTGACCCCTTATTTTTGAACCGAGTCCCCTAAATGTAGATTGTTCCACCAATGGAATCGTTCTTTCCACATCCACCCTGTGAAGACCTCACAGCACTTCCTATGTTTTGATCAGTTTGCCTCTTAACTCCAGGTACAAGGTTAGTCTGTTCACCCTTTCTCAAAGACAGTCTGCTCATTCAAGATATTCCAATAAATCTCATCTGAATTCCTTAAGTAAGGAGACCAATACTCCAGATGTGGTCTTCACGATGCCTATTTAACAAAAGCAAAACTCTGTATCTTTGTACTCCGTTTCTTGATTACTTAATGTACTAAGCTTTTGCATTTTCTGCACTGCACCATGTACATCCCACTGCATCTCAAACCTCTTGTAATCTCTTGTCATTTATGTAATTTTTAAAAAATTCTTCCGATCAAATGGACAATTTCACGTTTTCCCATATTATGCCAGATTTGTGCCGCCTCACTTCACTTATCTATATCCTTTTGCAGCTAGTTCATATCCATGTCACAACTTATTTTCCTTACCTGTCTTTGTGCCACCAGTAAATTTAGCAATCATGTCTTTGGTTGCATCATCTCCATCATTTATATAAATTAAGTCTCTGGCACTATGACATACCACCAATAAACACTTAGAACTCGACCCCATATACACTCCACTATGAAGGAAAACCGGAAGTGAGGCAATCCAGCTCAACGGACTCCAGAGTTTAAAAACCAGGCGGGAAAACACACTGCTTCATTGGAGGCTGCACTGATGATGTTACCCAGCATGGTAACGAAACGTCTGCGGAACAACAAACCAGCTCGGCAAGCCAAACAACTTCAATACCACTTTTTTAAAATTCAAAATTGGGAGTAGGGCGTTGCTGGCTAGGCAGCATTTATTACCAATCCCTAATTGCCCAGAGGGCACTTAAGTGTCAACCATATTGCTGTGGGTCTGGAGTCACCTGTAGGCCGGACCGGGTAAGGATGGCAGTTTCCTTCCCTAAAGGACATTAGTGAACCAGTTGGGTTTTACCGACAATCGACAATGGATTCATGGTCATCATCAGACTTTTAATTCCAGATATTTTATTGAATTCGAATTCCACAATTCTGCCATGGCGAGATTCAAACCCTGGTCCCCAGAATGTTATCTGGCTCTCTGGATTAACAGTCCAGCAATAATACCACTAGGCCATTGCCTCCCCCATACTCTCATAACTTGCCAACCAGAAAAATACCCTTGATGCCTACTCTTTTTTTTTTCTCTTTGCTCACCAATCTTCTGTCTGTGCCAATTTATTATTCTCTACAGCATACGTTCTTATTTTTGGTAATAACCTTCCTGGCACCTTGATCAAATGTCTTCTGGAAGCCTAAGTACACTACATCCACAAGTTCCTTTTATTCACAGCATGCGTTACTTCTTTAAAAAACTTTTAGTCAGACATGATCTCCCTTTGGCAAAACCATTTAACGCTGCCTGGTTACCTTCATCTTCTCCAAGTGCCAAGAGCTAATATCATTAATAGTGTCTAACATTTTCCTTATGACAGGTAACTAGCCTATAGTTTTCTCCTTTGTCTCTTTCCCTTTTGAAATATGGAAGTTACATTTTGTTATTTTCCAATCTAATGGAACCTTCTCTGAATCTGGGGAATTTTGGAAAATTAAAACCAATATATTAACAATCTCACTAGCCACTTCTTTTAAGACCCTAGGATGAATAGTTGTCAGTCCAGAGCTCCAGCAGTTAGCTCAGTACCATTTCTCTGGTGATTTTTAATTTTCTTGCATTCCTCCCTTCCATTTACAGATATTTCTGAGATGTTATTTGCGTCCGCTATAGTGAAGACTGATGCAAATAAAATACCTGTTTGATTCATCTGTCGTTTCCTCATAACTATATTAATTCCCCAGATTCTCTGACTTGTACATACCTATAAAATCTCTTACTATCTGTTCTTTTTGTTTTAGCTAGCATTTCTCATACTCCAGTGCCTTCCTCTTTATCAATCCTTGTTCGTCATTATTTTCTGTTTTTTATATTCTGTGTAACCTTCTGACCCGTCATCCATATTTGTGCACTTGCGGTTTTTCTTTAAGTTTGACACCATCATAACTTGTTTAGTTAACTGTTGATGGTGGGTCCTGCCCTTGGAACTTTTCTTTGTGATAGGAAAATTCTGAAATACCACCTTAAATGTGTGCTATTGCATCTCTATTGACATATCCTTTTAACCAAATTTATAGTTCACTTTCTCTGCTTTTATGCCCTGATAATTACCCTTATTTAAATTTAAAATAGAAGTCTTCTGTCTCAACCTTTGTTATAAAATTCATTAATAAGATAACTGCTACATAGAGGCACCTTCATTGTGAGGTCATTATTCTCATTGCACAATACCAGGTCTAGTGTAACTTACTCTTTGGTTGGCTGCAGAATGTCGTTTAAGAAATTGGCCCGAATTCTATGAGCTCCTCGTGGATAACTATTGCTCATCTGATCTTTTTCAGTCTGTATGTAGTTCCCCATGATTATCTGATAAACTCCTGTTTTTTCCTTTATACTGCATCTTACTGTGTGGTTCCTATTAGGTGGCCTGTAACCATACACACAAGCAACTTATTACCTTTATTGTTTCTCATCTTTACCCAAATCACTCTTCTGATGAAAGGCTATTAATCTGAAATATTAACTCTATATCGCCTTGGATGGCACCTCACCTAAGTATTTCCAAAGCTTTTCACTTTTTTTTTGTACTTTCCTGTGTTATTGTGTGCCATGAAAGATGTGGTCGCAATGAACCTGAACGGTGCTGTGATGTCCTTGTACAGGAGCTGAGATGGACTTCTACATAATGTGTCCAGACAGAAGTGATCTTTAGCAACCAGGGTGACTCCACATGTCTAAAAGCTCATAGAGATATCCATTTGTTGGTTGAATATGTAAAGGACAGACACCAGGACGCATTTGAACTATAGTGTGATTGTTGAGAGAGCAATTGCTCACTATAATTGAGATGTTGCCTGAAGACAGAATATGTTTGGCTGACAGATTTTTCTTTCCTAACAGGATGGAGGCAACACAATCTTTATTTGAAAGTTTTGAACACATTCTAGCAACACAGTTGGCCGAGATAGAGGTATTCACTGACAATCCTGACAGAAGCAGGAACGGACAACTTGAAGCTTGTTTACAGCTAGTTGCTGAGTGCTTCCGATGCCTCAGAAATGCCTGCATACAATGTGTCAAAAACCAGTCTCATGCAAGGTAATTAAAGCTCATGTTCTTTTTGTTATAGAATGAGATGTTTTAATCAGTACAATTGTGCATTGCATAGGGAAATATATATGTTTGCAGTTTTAAATCAGAACTCCTGATCTTACTCGTACTGTTGTGGGATATTGCTTAATAGAGACAGAAGTTTTCCCATCGAATAGATGAGACTTGCTGGGAGCATTATCCTACCCTGTTTTCAGGCGAGACCTGGGAATAGTGCTGTCTGTAGTGCAGAGAGCATAAAAGCAAAGAAATGGGACTAAAAATACCACAGAGAAAACCCATACCATTGGTTTGGGAATGAAAAGCAACTGCCCTCACAATATTCCAAATTTTAAAAATGGAGCAATTTTTTTTTTAAAAGAGCTTATGCATATAACCATAGGCAATACTTAAATGACATTGTTAAACATTCTCACTGTTCAGTTGTGTACTGATAAACACAGAAACTAGGAGCAGAATTAGGCCATCAGCTCTTCAAGCCTGATCCACCACTTAATAGCCCAGTCTTGCTTTCTCCCCGTACTCCTTTTATGTCTTTTTAAAATCTGGAAATTTATTGACCTCTTTCTTGAATGTATTCAGTGACTTAGCCTCCCTAGCTTTCCATAGTAGAGAATTCCACTGTTTGCTACCCCTTGATTGAAAAAAATGCTTTTCTTATTTCCACTCTACCCTGTATTCTGAGACTGTGTCCCCTGATTCTACAGTACCCAACCAAGTACAACATTCTCCCTAGTCTGTCCAGCTTGTTAAACTTTTATATGTTGCACTCCCTCTGTGGCAAATATATCCTTTCTTAGGCAGGGATACCAAAACTAAATGCAACACTCCAGATGTGGTCTCAAGGCCCTGTATAACTGCAGTGAGACATCTCTACTTCTGAACTTAAATTCTCTTGCAATGAAGGCCAATTTACCATTTGTCGTCTTAACTATATGCTCCACTTTCCTGCCTACTTTCATTGACTGGTATACAAGGAAATGCAGATCCCTTTGTAATTTACATATCCCAGTATACCACTATTTAAATCATACACTTTGTATACTGGAGTGTGCAGAACAGAAGCACTTTACATTTAGCCAATTTGTACTGCATCTGCCATGTGTTTTCTCACTCATTCAACTTGTCTAAATCACCTAGAACCTGCTTCAATGAAGCTCAATCCTACCCAGTTTTGTGTTGTAAGCAAACTTGAAAATGGTGCATTTGGTTACCTTTATGCGAGCCATTTATATAAATCATGAATACCTGGGACCCAAACACTGATCCTTGAGGCACCCAACTTGTCATTGCCTGCCATTCAGTAAAGGACCCATTTATTTTCATCCTGTACTTGTCTGTCAACTAATTCTTGATCCATGCTAACATATTACACCCGAGAACATTTGTCTTAACTATGCCGACTAACCTTATGAGGGACTTTTATCAAAAGTGTTTGGAAATCTAAATACACCACATCTACTGGTTCTCCTTTATCTATTCTATTGGTTACATCATCAAAGCTTTCCAAATATTCTGTTATATGTTTTATGTTAGCCTGTTGTATTTTCTTCATTACTGATGTTAGGTTTTCTGGTCTGTAATTCATTTTTTTCTTGTCTCCCTCTTTTAATATTGGGGTTACATTTGACACCTTCCAGTCTACATGAATTGCTCTGATGACCACTAATGCATCCAATATTTCCAGGACTACTTCCTTTAATACTCTGCTAAAGATGCAAAGTAAATGAATTAACTGGATTTGTAGACAAACTGAGACAACAAGGTGCAGAGCTGGATGAACACAGCAGGCCAAGCAGCATCATAGGAGCAGGAAGGCTGATGTTTCGGGCCTAGACCCTTCATTTTCTGAAGAAGGGTCTAGGCCTGAAACGTCAGCCTTCCTGCTCCTATGATGCTGCTTGGCCTGCTGTGTTCATCCAGCTCTGCACCTTGTTGTCTCAGATTCAGATTCTCCAGCATCTGCAGTTCCTACTATCTCTTGTAGACAAACTGTCTGTCTAGAGAGTGGAAATTGTAGTTATAATGCTAATATAATTGCACAGCAATGCCACAGCGGGACTACTGAGCCACATCAATTGATGCCCAACAAAGTGTTGACTATTGTGGTGCACGTCACCTTCTTACACGATTGAAAGGTACCATCTGTATTGTGCTTGTGCAATGAAGTCTAGTGCAATATAGACGTGACATTTTAAGGGGATAATTACTTGATTGGTGAATTATCTATACTTTGGTATCAAACTGAGTTGCTATTTATATCATCATTTAGGAATTAATGTGGTTAGAACTTGTATCTCTGTCCTAATGAGTTCTTTCTGGGATTTAGGCCATTGATGAAATCATGGATGCACTGCAAATTCCTTGGTCCCATTCCCATTCACAGCTGGTAATTTCAGAAAAGATGTGAAATAATTTTCTTGACAGTGGCATTTGAAGATGATATGGAGGTGCAGTGTACTCTCGGTGAAGGAATTGGAACAAGATTTAACTGTCATGCTTGATTACTGTTTCATTACGTGGGAGAGAGTAGGACCAGATAAAGCATTTCTTACAAAGACCAAGGAAATCCCACTTGAGGATTAGATCAACAAGGCCATTTCTGCACATTTATCAGTAGAAAGTGGGATTTGAAAAGTATGTGCAAATGCCAAGAGTGATGGTGCAAGCAGTGGAATGAATAAACTGAATCTGTAGTCAAATTGTCTATCTACAGAATGTAAACCATAGTTATAAAAAGAAACAATGCTGGAGGAACTCATTGCACTTGGGTACAAATTTATTTAATTAAATATCACAGCTGCATTTCAAATTAAGAACATTGTTACCAAATGGAATGTCTTTGTTCCCACGTTTCTGTCCCAATCCCATATGGAGGTAGCGATTAGTTCCAGCTGTATGTATCTAATTTTATTCATTCATGTTGCTTGACTGGGTGTGTCATGTTGGGACAGTCTGGTTTTGATTGCCTTGTATAGAAGAACTGCATTGCCTATGATTGAGAATGATTCCGTTGTGACTGACTAAAAAGTTTAAGCATTGTATTAGATTAAAAGAAGATACTTATAGTCATAGTCATACCGCATGGAAACAGACCCTACAGTCCAACCAGTCCATGCTGACCATAATCCCAAACTAAACTAGTCCTACCTGCCTTCATGTGGCCCCTATCCTTCCAAACATTTCTTATTCATGTACTTGTCTAAATCACTTTTCAATGTAGTAACTGAATCCATACCCACCACTTCCTCTGGAAGGCCATTCCGCACACAAACCACACTGTGTTTAAGAAAAAAAAAATGCCCCTCGTGTCTTTTTTAAATCTTTCTCCTCACTCCTTTTAAAAAAAATGCCCCCTAATCTTGGAATGTCCTACCATAGGACAAAACACTTGCCATTCACCTTATCTGTACACCACTTCATTGACCCTATGCAGAACTCCACGGTCCGGGGATGTGCGGGCTAGGTGGATTGGTCACGCTAAATTGCTCATAGTATTCAGGAATGTGTAGATTAGTTGGGTGATGAGGGATGGGTCTGGGTGGGATGCTCTGAGGGGTGGTGTGGACTTGTTGGGCCAAAGGGCCTGTTTCCATACTGTAGGGATTCTATGATCTATGATCTATGAGGTCAACACTCAACCTCCTAAGCTCCAGTGACAAAGTTCCAGCCTCTCCTTATAACTCAAGCCCTCCATTCCCTGCAACATCCTGATAAATCTTTTCTGATGAACGTGATGAAGGAGCCTAGTATTTTGGAGAGTTTCAGATATCAGCAAAGGATGACTGACAATTTGAGGGTTAATAGAATAACAACAAACTAACAAAAAAATGTATGAGCTTTACAAGTATGTCAAATGAAATAAAATACATGAAAGTAAATGAGTTGTCTCGAAGTTGAGACTGTAACAGTTATAATGGGGAATAAAGAAGTGCAGAGATGTTGAAGGACATAAATGTTTGGGGAAAAGAAATGTAATGAGAATAAGGAATTTATAGTAGTTATTATTTGTAAAGAAAATGTTTTGGAGAAATTATCCTCTGGGCTTGATGGTACACATCCTAGGTTCTGAAAGAAGTGGCTGCAACGATAGTGGATTCATTAATCTTCCAAATGTCCTTAAATTCTTGAACTTCCATTGGGTTGGAAGTTAACAAATGCAAATTACAGTTGGAAAAATTGGGAAAGACAGAAAACACGGAACTTGCAGAGCTGCTGGCCTGACATCTGACATTGACAAAATGCATTGTTAAGGTGCCTAGTAACAAAACACTTAGAGAATTCTTTTTAAAAAATGCATGATTCGGCATGTCATGTGGTTTTACAGATGTTTTCGAAGATGTAACTAGCAGCGTAGACATAGTAATGGTGGATATTTGGATTTACAAAAGGTAGATGCTTGAAATAGGGTTCATGTGACTTTGGTAATGTTGTTTTAGATAGGCGATTGTTTAAAGAAAAAACAAATCCAATAAGTGGGTTAATTTCATGCTTGTAGGTTGTTAATAGGGTACCACAGGATCAGTACTGATATCTTGACTATTTTTAAGCTAAGTTAATGTCTTGGATGAAGGTACCAAGAGTAGTGCATCTAAATTTGCTGCTGATTTTTTAAAAAAAATCTTGGAGGGAAAGTGAACTGAGAAGAGACTGCAAAGAGGTTGAATGATGAATGGGCAAAAAGTTAGAAAAAGGGATATAATGTGGAGAGATGAAAGGTCAGTCACTTTACTGTCAAGAATGCCACAACACAGACTCTTTTTGCCATTTTTTATTTTAAAAAATTCAACTGTTGTCATACATAAACGGGAGGATATAGCAAGCAGTTAAGAGGTCAGATAGTTTGTTGGCCTGTGTAGGAGTAAGCAAGTCTTTCTGCAATTGGCTTTTGCGTGACCACAGATAAGATCATAAATATGAACAGGTGTAGGCCATATGGCCCTTCAAGCCTGCTCCACCATTCATGAGGATCACAGCTGCTCTCACAT